TAAATATAAGTGCCTTACTTGTCAACTGTTCTTTTATCCCGGGTCCTATATGTTATATTTTCAATTGTTGTGATTGTTGATATGTTGCAATGAAGCATTCCGTCACCATCTTCGTAGTGTTGAAGTGTGAGAAATTGTTCGTACATGAAATAACTGGTCATCTCGCTAACAATTTTGCTTATGTGATATTCTGTATCAGGTACTTTTGTAGCTTTATGGCGGCGGCTCCACCAATCAGAATACTGTTTGCAATTCCACGGCGGATGCTGTCGCTGACATCGAACCGGAATGTTAGGTAAATCGCAGGTTGCTTTGTGCGCTACTGAGGCTCTTGTGTTTTGTTTTCATCTCTTCTCTCTGTTTTTGCACTGTCATGTGTCCTAACGTCTCAATAAGCAACTTAGAGCTAACATGATTCTTTTGACCTCAAGGTCGTGATCTTTATTGACAGTAAGCCGCTTTTTTCTAATTCGTATGCTCTTTCACTCCTTCGTATAAAGACAATGTACGTGCTGCACTTTTCCCTAAACGCTTCAATAATGAGTAGATTCACTTGAATTAACAAACCGTAGCAGCGTCCTCGTGCATGTTGCTTTGGTTTATAGGAACCCTACGTTATTACAGGTTCCGTTCCAGCAATCCCGGGCACACAATAAAAGCAATTGGCAGACTCGTGGATCCAATCGAATCTGACACTTTATACGATCCAGGACAGGTAATGCACAATCTTCTTGTGTAATTGAAAAGGGTTTAGAGTTAACCCGTATCAGTTTGTTATAAGATAAGAAAAGCATGGTGTTCAGCTTTTTATTCACAAAACATTCGCGTACAAAGGAGTTGTAGTATGTGCTTTCAAATGCAGATTCCAGGAGAAGAAAAGCAATTCTAGGTCAGCTTTTTTTTCAACTCACTAAAAACATCGAGTCAATTTTATCTTCTTCACTACTTACCCTTCCAGTGACCGATCCATCTCGCAAGGTAGATACTACCAAGTTCTCATCGACAGAGGTGATTGGGGACACATGGGATTTCCTGTGGATTTGACTTCATATTTAATGGATGGTACCACACGTGGAGAAAAGCTTCTCACTCTAATTAAGTGCGTCTTTACAAATATGCATCATTGACTTTGTATTTCTGGTTTCTAGCGGTATGGATTGTGTATCACACTATGACATTCTTCCATTCGCTACGTCCGAACGAGACCCTCTTGATCATGATTTGTTCCACAGAATATTCGACGTTACTGAAGAGGGTAAACAAATGATTTTTTTAATATCCCCTCTTTCGAGAATTTCTCTTTTTTTATATTTTTTTCGTTTTTTGTATAGCATTTCTACTTCCAAGGCTTCTTTTTGCTTACAAAATCCACTTAAGCGACATTTTGGCTACCATTGTTCTTTAGTGGTACACTTTCTTTGAACCAAATTAAATTTTGGGCTGTTGGATTTTCTATTTATCTACTCGAAGTTTTTTTTGACTGTTTTAGACATTTTCTTCTTTTTACTGGAACTACGTCATAACCTTTTGTTTGCAAATATGCATTTAGGAAAAGAATTCAAGATTACCATGAAAGCGAATCTCTTTGAGAATTACATGGCTTCGCAACGGTCATGGTTAGCCCCAAGAGATGTTT